TGGCTCTCACGCTCAGAGCGCTCATCGGCAAATTGGTCAGGGTAACGGCTTAGATTCAGTTCGGTAGCCAATCTAGAAAGCGTGTGCGCATGTGTGAGTCAGGGAGGGGGTCGCGGATAGCCCGTCGCGTAAAAGAGAACAAGGACTGTGTTAGCGAACAACACGAGGGAGGGAGACGCACAGGCACGCGGGGCCCGCGGCTGACGTACCGGAATGCAATGCCCGTGTAACACCACGCGCGGTCCTCTTCCCACCGCCGAGCGGGTGGGTTGTACACGCTCCAGAGCGCGAATGCCTGGGTCATCTCGACCGTCTTCCAGCCGTCAATGACCGCGTTTGCAGCCGCTGCCTTCGCAAAATGGATCGCCATCCCGTAGATGTGCGGCTTTTCCTTGTAATACTTGGAAGCCACCGTACAGACTGCCCGCCACGAGATGAGCATGAGAAAAATCAAATATGACTAGAGTTGGCAACAGGAGGAGGGTACGTACTGATCGTGAACAGGAATGGGCACCGTGCGAGGACACTCGCTGGGCTGTGGATGTTCTCGTCCAGAATGGGAATAGTGGGCTGCGGAAACAAGCTTCAGCTGTCATACTCCTACGCGGGCGGTGTGATCGGCATACGTTGATCCACTTGTAGTGTCTATGACAAGAATCAGTTTCTGACTGGGCATCCGCAACATAACGTCGCGACGTACATCTCAAACAACGCCGTCGCGTCCTCTGGCGTCACCAGCCCTGAGAGTAGAATGTCCGGTGCAGCCTGCCTTTCGATGATGAGCCGACGAAGTTGCAGATTGGCATGCGGACCTGAGAGCGCCGAATTAGCATCACAAAGGTAGGGCAGAACCACACGGCGTAGCGATAGCTTACCGGGGAGGTAGTAGTTGTCTGCGGCCACACCCGCTTCCACGTTTGACGCCGCTCCGGCGGCCGAGGAAGTGCTATCGCTCGCACTCTCAGTTGGGACGGGCTTGCGCGCGTTTTGGAGCGCCGCGGTGGCCATGATGAATGTCGGCGCGCCCGGCTCCAGGATTGACTCAACGGCGCGTGGAGGCACGGATTCCGTGGCGCGCAGGGTCGGAGAGGACTCCCGCTCTCGCTTCGGGCTGGAGGAGCCCGCGTGGCTGCCCGCGCCGCCAGCTTCGTCGTCAGATGTCATCGAATCGTCCTCCGACACAACGTCTTCCAGCGCCGCAATCTCGAACTTAACCCGTTGGTCGCCCATGAGACGTTGATTGGCTTGTTGCGAACTGCGTTCGAGATAGCTGAGCACGTCGCGGTAGTCCGCGCGCTCCTTCTGGTTGAGCGGCAGGCGCGCGGGAACGAGCGTAAGCGGCGTCGCCATGGTAGGTCCAGGGTTGACTTGGCTGAGAAGGTTATCGATCATCGCGTCCTTTTCGCGTATCTGCTGTCGAAGGACCATGCGCTGCCTGTCGCACCACAATCATCGTTAGCAGCCAGACCAGGACAGGAGGCAGCGAAGCCGACTACGGAGAAGGTAAAGTACGCCAACGATATATGGTAGGTGGAGAGGATAAACTTTGCGACAGGAATGGAACTACACTCACCCTGGCGCGCGCGGCTTGCGCCCCAGAAACACGCAGTCGTACCCGCCCGCGAGACATCGCGAGCACACCTCGTCGTCGGGACTGGAGGAAGTGCATTTCATCTGCATGCGCGCGCATAGTCAGCTCTCGCCCCTAGTAGGGGATGATTCGCAGCGCAACGCGCGACGGACCTTCAGACGGCGGCAGCGCGCGCATGCGCCTGTACGCTTCGCGGCTGCAGCTCGCCCGCGGGGCTTTGTCCGGTCGGGACCGACGCCGGGGGCCATGTTGCTCATACCCGCAGACACATGCGCACCGAGATGCGCCGCGTACTGGTCGGGGTTGAAAGGCGCGGAGCTGTGGTGGTAGCCGTGTTCGGGCTGACCATAGAATGACTCCATAGCGGCATGGGTGTTGTGCTCGGCCTTGACGTGCGGCGCGTAGCCTGCGCGTTCGCACATACAAGAATAATGACATGAGCGTTCCGCGGAATGCGGTGAACCAGGCACGGGGAAACCGCACACGTACCGCCGTCCATGTATGGCTCATGGTGCATCGCGGGGGCTATATGCGCCCAAAGTCGAGGTCAGCGGGTCCCAGAGTGAAAAACGTGCTGGCCACTGACCGTGACCGGGACTGGGGTTCTGCATCGTCCAGCTGTCCTGAGGACAACCAGAGAAGGGCTGCGCGCCGAAGTAGTCGATGGGCGAGTTGTCATTGTCGTGGTTGGAGGGCGTCGAAATCGGAGATGGAACATGAGGGGAGTGGATGGGCTGCGGCGGGAGAGCGAGATCGGGGTAAGAGCGATGAGACATCATTGGCCACGCATTGGGGGGCTGAGCGTAGGCATCCTCAGCCCCGCGCGATCGCGGATTCATGGCTGGCGGAGGGATGTGGTTGGGGGGAGGGTAGCGGCCGGCGTACATGGCGGGACCGGGGTTTGGGGGGCAGCTCTGGCGGAGCACCAACTTCTTGAGCGGGGGGAGCGCGTGCGCCGTGGCGGATGCTGAACCGGGTAGCTAAATACTCGAACCTTGTCAGCGCGCGCGATTAGCCGGGACAGAACCTACTGAGTCGGGTCCTGTGCAAGCCCACGCATTCGCCCGCCGCGTGCGCCGGGCGCGCCTCGGGCGTGCACCTTGCCCCCGCCTGCCCGCGATGGCCTTGCGAGCCCACCGAGGAAGAACGTAATCGCGCCCTGCTGGCGACCCCACGCTCGGGCTGGGCGTTCCCCACTCGGCGCCTCCGCGAAGTCCCGAACAGCGCTGTCCTTCTTGTTTCGATGATTGAGCGGCGGGCGGCATCCACCAATCGTCTCGCCGCGTCTCACACGCGCGCCCGCACACCTCCCATCGCCCGCGGCAGCCCAGGCGGACAGTGACGAGGATATTGGAGCATCGGACGTTCTCTCTCCGCTGGAAGCCGCCTTGGATTCGGTGCCGCATTCGCACCCAGGATTACGCCGCAATGAGGCGTCTGCGTCCAGTGGACGCGCGCACTTCGGAACCTCGCGAAGGGGCCCGGGCGAGACGCAGAGCCGATTCGAAGTTCTGCCCTTTGTCAGTGAGCGTAGGACGGCAGAAGCTGGGCATCACGCACCCCGCTGCCCTAGCATGGCGTCTCGCCGTCGTCTGCGGCGCGCTTGACGACGAACGCGATGCCTCCCCTCGCTGCGCCAGAAGAATGTTCAGCGCTTTCGGATCGGCACACGCCAATCGATCGAAAAAGCATCGAGATAGGAGACAGAAGGCTGACGAAGCCTCCCCTGCTATCCCCTGCTTTGCTGCTCGGCACGGGCGCTCCTCCGCCAGGCCACCCGCGTCAATGTGCCTGGTGGTCCATCCGGGCCTCGCGGCAGAAGGCACGCCCTCCTCTGCTAGCGGGGAGAGTACAACAACCAGCGCCCTGGGCATTCAGTCTTCACGGACTGCGTCGGACATGCTCACAGCCAGGCGTGTACTGGCAGTTTCGGAAGGCGTTCGGCACACGGCCGCCGAGTTTGTCTGCTTCCATGAGCGCCCGGGGTCGAATTCGCATTCGTTCAGTACACATCCCATCCATCGTGAATGCCGTTCTTGAACCTTCACCATATCCTGCAAACCCATAACAACCTCGTCACCGTCAGGTTTTACATCGTATTGAATCAAAGAACGCACCGAACTCTCGGAAAAGACTGTCTATAGACTGTTCGCACTGAGCAAGAAGGTCGGCTCGCGGGAATATCGAACGACCGCGGCCAAGGGACGTATTACCGACCGCGGCCGCGACCAATCTGTGGGCACGTCCATATGGGATGCCGCGCTCACTGTGGCACCTTGACACCGCATTCAAGGACGATTCGCGCGTGGCTGCGCTCCACCGCAAGGGTTTGCGCCCTTATGCCACTTTGTGTGCACCCGCCCGCGCGCCTCTGTCCGGACCGACGCCAAACGGCCAAAGACCGTTCTGTTCTAGCCCCGCACGCGCGCAGACGTCTGGGACTGTGCTGGGCGACTGAGTGGGAGCGGGAGTTGTCCGCGACGGAGATGCATGCGATGTTGAGTTGGAGCTGAGATTACCCGTTGAATCGGAGCGAGCGGGGGCATGTGGTCCGGCGAGCGCGCGGGACTTTGTGCGTCGTGTTCGGGACAAGGTTGGGCCTAGATCGTCGAGGTCGAGCTCGGATGCAGTGGATAGAAGTGGCTGACACGCTCACCAGCCAATCTCGAGTGCTTTTGCAGGAGCAGCGTTTGATAGACTGTGTGCGGCCACACCGGGATGGCTAGAACTACGTACGAGGCAGACGTTCTGCGAATAGAGGCCCGCGTGAACGCTCATCGGAACTTGCGCGCGTCCTTGTTCTGCGCTTGCCCTGCCCCTAGGCTTCTTTTCTTCTATCCATGGCGTTTGTGTTGCTGTGTAGCACGATAGTACCTGATCGGTGGGAGGAAACGTGCCGCTGCGCATATATTCACCTGGAGATAGACAATGTCATTTTCCGTTTACTTACTCCGTACCTGGTCCACCTGTATCATTATCGAGAGAAGTGAACGGAGTGGAGGGAACAAATTAGCAGGCTCGGAGATGGTAAAGCCACGTAGGAAGGCGGGAAGAGACTCGCGCTCCGGGACTTGCTCTGACTTGCTGAAGCCCGTCTCAATCTCCGAAAGAAATTATGAGTCGCACGATTAGATAAGATTAGATCCAGACGCCTGTCTACTCACTGCGACTCACGATACGGAAACGGGCGCCTATAATCTGCTCTTCTTGATTTTTCTTCCTTCCACACACCTTTCCCCCTCCACAACCATGTCGGAAGACACTGAGCCTACCGTTGAAAAAAAGGTGGAAGAGGACGCCACCATAGATGAGAGTGAGGAAGACAAAAAGCTGCGAGCTGCTCGCCAAAGTACGTGCCCGGCCAAGTGAACAACACTTGTTCCCTAATACCACACCTTCTCCGCATATAGTCGAGTTTTACTTCGCCGACTCGAACCTGCCCTTTGATAAGTAGGTCTTCTTTTTGGTGCACGCACGCTCCTTTCCGACATGGACTCCCCAGGTTCATGTGGACGCTCCACACAGCTAATGCCGAGCACTGGGTACCCGTCAAGACCGTCGCATCCTTCAAGCGTATGCGCGAGTTCCATTCTCTGGGTGATGAGTGGCTACTCGATGCGCTTCGCAAGAGCGAGGAGCTGGAAATCGACGAAAAAAGCGAAAATATCCGCCGCCGCACCGAAGTGCAGCCACCGAAGGACCAGTTCGAACGCAGTGTGTACGCGGTACGTTGCTCGTCCTTCTCCACCCCACGTGCATCAGGGGAAGTTTAAGGGGGATCGTTTTGGGACGGCAGAAAGGCTTTGGCAAGGAGGACCCGACGCTGCAGAAGAAGCTCGAGGACTTTTTCAACAAGTACGGGCGGACGAACGCGGTGCGCATGCGGCGAATTGACAACACGAAGGAGTTCAAGGTTCGTGTCCTCTCCCCCCTATCATGCGAGCCGTCCGCCAACCGTTTGGTGCGGGTTTTCGGCGACAGGGCTCCGTGTTCGCCGAGTTTGCGGACTTCAAGTCTGTGGAGGCGTTCCTAAACGCCGACCCGAAGCCCTCATGGGAGGGGGAAGAGCTTCTCATCATGTCAAAGTACGTACGCACATCCGCGCTCACGCTGCGACGTTTCTCCGCCTCGCTCTGTTGCCGCGCTGGCGCTGAGAAACCCGCGGCTCATCGTTCGTCCTCACAGACAAGCGTACTGCGAGATGAAGATCAAGGAGAAGGGTCTC